GACTCTGGGTGCTGCTGAGTTCAAGACAGCCTTAAGCAAAGGTGAAGGAGGGCATACTGCTGAAGCAGGGCATTGAGACACTGCCACTCATGGCCAGCACTTGTCCAGCACAGTGGGAACACAGGACATGGTTTGGCACTGACAGTGGGGTCTTGTCTGAGAAGACCACCTGCATCCTTTCTTCTATTCCTGTCTCACCTTCAAGGTTGACCTGTACCATCCTCATTTTATGCTTCTCCTCCCACCCCCAACAAGGCTGCAGCAAAACACGAACCTAAGGCTTTTATAAGTTATTGGGCAGGCATGATGGCTCACGCCTGTAATCTCAGCACTCTGGGAGGCCGAGGTGGGTGGATCATTTGAGGTCAGGGGTTCAAGAGCAGCCTGGCCAACATGAAACCCTGTCTCCACTAAAAATACAAAAATTAGCCAGGCATGGTGGCAGGTACCTGTAATCCCAATTACTCAGTAGGCTGAGGCAGGAGAATCACTTGAACCAGGGAGGTGGAGATTGTAGTGAGCTGATATTGCACCACTGCATTACAGCCTGGGTGACAGGGTGAGACTCAGTCTCAAAAACAAACAAACAAACAAAATAGTATATACTAATTTTGAATTACAGTAAATATTCCCTGATTCTAGGTAAACTACCATAACCTTGATATTACTAACATCTAGGTTAGAAAGAGTCTTTTAAAAAAAGTTTCAGGCTGGGGGTATGGCTTATGTCTATAACCCCAGCACTTTGGGAGGCTGAGGTGGGCAGATCACTTGAGTCCAGGAGTTCAAGACCAGTAGGCAACATGGCAAAAACCCATCTCTACAAAAAATACAAAACTTAGCCAGGAATGGTTATGTGCACTTGTAGTTCCAGCTACTTAGAAGGTTGAGGTGGGAGGATCACTTAAGCCCAGGAGACAGAGGTTGCAGTGAGCCGAGATGGCACCAATGCACTCCAGCCTGGGTGACAGCTGACCTTGTCTCAAAAACAATAAAAATAAAAATGTAAAAAGTTTCATGTAGCAATTTGAATTTTTTGGAAGCATTTTTCTTCTGTCCTCTCCTCTCTCCCTTTCTTTCCTGTCTCACTTCTGCTTTCAAGTGCTCTGTGATCACAGTGTCCCAGTATTATTTATTCCTTTGTGACTTTTACAAGCAGCAATTAACCATGAACACTATTCTTCAGGATGTATGTCTTTTTATAATCCAGTGGTAAGTGCATCTTCACAATTCTATTGAGCTATACCTCTTCAAACCTTCAAGATTGCCAAGATGAGTTAGGAAGAAACAGGATTTGGATCAGTTTCCTACAAAAGTGTCAATATTTGTTAAAACAAAGAGTATCCCCAATAGAATGCCATCTGTCCTTGTCTTTGAGGGCCTGCTGGAAAATCTTTTCCCAGCCAAGAGATGATTATTTGGCATAACTGACACGAATTCAGCAGGATGGCTTACAGATCCAAAACTGGCTTTATAGGCTGGGCACGGTGGCTCACACCTGTAATCCCAGCACTTTGGGAGGCTGAGGCGAGTGGATCACCTGAAGTCAGGAGTTCAAGACCAGCCTGGCCAACATGGTGAAACCCTATCTCCAGAAAAAATACAAAAAATTAGCTGGGCATGGTGGTAGACACCTGTAATCCTAGCTACTTGGGAGGCTGAGGCAGGAGAATTGCTTGAACTTGGGAGGCAGAGGTTACAGTGCGCCAAGATCACGCCGCTGCACTCCAGACAGAGTGAGACTCCAACAGAAAGAAAGCAAGTGAGAGAGGGAGGGAGAGAAGGAAGGAAGAAAGGAAAGGAGGGAGGAAGGGAGGGAGGAAAGGAGGGAAGTAGGGAAGGAGTGAGTGAGGGGGTGCTTTGCTATGTGAAAACTGGAAGTATAACAATGTGTTTCATTTTTAAAACTATAAATTAGAGATTATTTACCATACTATTTCCCATAGGAAGCTTTTAATCAGCAGGATTACCTAATCAATTTAAACATTCAGATCGTTAACAAGTTATTTTGTTATACAGCATTTTAGAAGGTGAGCAACTGATAGGTAAAACATAAGGCCCCTCTCATGGTTTTATTGTTTCACCTATGCTTTCTCTGAAGCAAATAAGCTTTCTCTGAAGCAAATACTTTCTCCTATTGCAGATGGAAACAGTTTTGATGCAGTTTTCAGGCTGAAGCATAACACACAGTCCAGCACCTCAGAGTGTTGCAGTCCCCAGGTCTACGCTGGTATCTCACCCCTATCATCAATAGCCTTTCATTTTAGGAGGCAAGCGTGTTCAACATGCTTCTGAGAATGGTCAGTTATCTGACTTGAGTTCCAAAGGAGGGGCTTAGCTACCTGGATTCCTTTGGAGAAAACTCAGATTCCTTTGAGTAATAACCTGAAGAATAATTCAAAAGGTCATCTCAGGTAGGAGTTGTGAAAGTTGATCAATAAACTGGGTCATTTTTGTTCTACCCAACTAAAACAGAGTTGAGAGGTCAAGGGGAGATGGCCCTCAGGGCACATAACATTGCTCCAAGAGTGTAATTCTCTGTAAGCCTGCTGAAACTGCCTGCTGAAGCCTAAAATCAGTTTTATCTACCAGCTGCTGAAACTACCTCCTGTGTCTCTAAGAATCATTTACCTGTTGCTGTCATTGGCTAATCAAAACTTGCCAGCTTCCTAAAACATGACTAGTGCCAATGAACTTTCTCAAAGAGCAATATGTCACATTTGTCCTTTTAAAGAAAACTTCTGACCTTCTCTTTGTTCTTCAGACATACTGAAGACCACCCAGTCTGTGCATATGGCCCAAATTGCAATTCTTTCTTCCCAAATAAAACATTTTAATTTCAGAGATTTCTCTATATTTCATTTGACTTCAGCAGAGTGAAATTCTTCAAGATGCATTAAACAGTTTTCAGGGCCCATTTTTCCTCCTACAGTGTATTGCTCAGTGGGATGTTTGCCGCTCAGCATTTCTATCTGTCTGTGTCTCTTCCAGCTTTCCCTGAAAATGAATTAATTTGGGAACCTCAAACCATCTGTAGAGTCTGACTCCACAACATTCTTGAAGCCCTCAAATACTCCATCTAGCTATGCCATTCCTTCCCAATTTATTTCCTACAGATACTGACGCCCTTTATTTAGACCTTCATCGAATCTCACTTTTCCCAAGAAAAGAACAGTCATCCCAGCCTCAGCCAGGGCCCTAGGCCAGCTCCCCCAGTTGTCCCTCCCTTAGGTTAAATAGACCAGGAGTGTGTGTCCTCTTTCACTGCATGGCATTCAGCTGCTCTGCAGACATCTTAGCCCAGCTTAACTAGGTACAGCTAATCTATGGGGATCTTGGCCACCATGGAAACACATAATTCCAGTCTCCAAACATACATGGGCATGTTTACCAAACAGATTTTTGTATGTGCTAAGTTAATTAATTAATTCGATAAATATTTCATGAGCACCTGCTATATTTAAGGCATTGATCTGAGAACATTGTTCCACGAATAAAACTAAGCTCCAGACCACTTGGGAGAGGCAGACAACAGATTTTTTTTTTTTTCTCCAGGGGATAATAAGTGCTGAAAAGAAAAATTAAGCAGGGGGAAAAAATGAAGGGGAGGAGAGTGATGGTGTGTGGATGGGATCATCTACCTGTGTTACACAGGGAGGTAGGCAGGGAATGTCTGTCCTGAAAGAGAGAGAAAGTCACACAGTTATTGGTGGGGGAAAGAGTATTTTGGGTAGCGTGAATAGCAAGTACAAAGGCCCTGAGGCAGGAGAGTAGCAACCATGTTTGAAGAACGGGGAGAGGCCAGTGTAGAAGGAAGGAAATCTGTATTATATACCAAGTCACACTGAAAATCACAGACTATGGTGAAGAATTTGTATGTCATTCTGAGAAGGGTGGGATGCTATTAGAGGATTTTATTTTTATCTATTTTTTTTTTTTATTATTGAGATGCAATCTTGCTCTGCCACCCAGGCTGGAGTGCAGTGGTGTGATCTCGGCTTACTGCAACCTCTGCCTTCTGGGTTCAGGCTATTCTCCTGTCTCAGGATCTTGAGTAGCTGGGACTACAGATGCATTCCACCACATCTGGTTAATTTTATTTTTTATTTTTAGTAGAGACAAGGATTCACCATGTTGGCCAGGCTGGTCTCAAATTCCTGACCTCAAGTGGTCCTCCTGCCATGGTCTCCCAAAATGCTGGGATTATAGGCATAAGCCAGTGTGCTCAGGCTATTAGAGGATTTTAAACAGGAAATTAATGCATACAAAACACAATATATCACACACAGTGAGGACTGAAGAAAGCCTAGCTTTAATTTTTACTTTTCCTTGACTCTAAAGGAGCTATGCATTCTACTTTATATAAATGGCATTGTCTTTTTCTAATGGTATCGTCTTTTCTAAAATTGACAGAACAGAATTCCAACATCCTTCATCTATAAGAGGTTGGATTATTAGAAAGTTAATATGTCCAAGACTTTAGGTCCTTCTCTACATTTTGCTGCTCAGCAATGTATTTTTGTTTAAACTTAGTATGGAAAATTTCAAATTCAATACAAAATTAGATAGAACAGCCAGCTCCAAGCAATTATGAATTCAAGGCTATTCTTGTTTCTTCTATCTGCCATCCATTTCTTTTTCTTTTCTTTTCTTTTTTTTATCATTGACAATGTTTATTATCAAGAAACTTTACTTGTAGATTTTTTAAAAGAATGTTGGTTTTAGAATACACAAAGAGGACACTCTGTGACAGGATATATACAAACAAGGATAATTAAAATATTAAATACTATCTAAATTAAAAGACCATAATTCAAATTGCCAATTATAATCTTTGTGTCTTGGTAGAAATAACTATAGTTCCCCTTCATGAAATTCACCCCTGTCTTTTCATGAAGACAATGAAGCCTCACCACAATTTCAGTTATTTAATTAACAATAATCAATGCTGAGTTTTCTGTGCTGAAGCATGCACTGTTAAAGAAAGCATAAAATCCTATTTACGGGGATTTTGAGTTTTCTTTAAAACGTATCTCAAGCATCTTTTAAAGTGCAAGCTACAAATAGGCTGTATCCTTAATGAAAAAGGCTTCTTTCTAAAAGCAGCATGAGATAGCCATCCAATACTGCAGGAATGGTTATATAACGAACTGAAGAAACCAGCAGCACTCGGCTAACTCTGTTTTAGTGTAGCAACCTCCTCCTTGGTCTTCTACTACCAGCCAAACATGTACTCCATTGCTTTGGATACAAGACTTTCATCTTTTTTTGGTGTTTGTCTGTTAGAAATAACCTGACATTCACTAGTAGAAGCTTTGTATGCTGTAGCAAGAGGTCTCATGGTAGAAATCCTAGGAATACTTCCAGGCTGTGTTGGTGTACCTAGAGTTTTGATTGGTGGTGTAAAGGTTAAAGATGGAGATGATAAAGCACATCTGTCATTGCTTTCCATAACACTTTTGTCAATACATGGTTTCACACCAATCATGATGGATTCTTCAAAAATCCTCCCATTTTTGCTTAAGGCTTTCCGAGCCTGCAGTTTAGACTGATAATGAATATGCATCCAATTTCCTGTGTTAGACATCACATGTTTTAAGATATTCCCAAACTGTGCAAACTGTAACAATATGTAGGAAGCAGATGCTTGAGGAGACCCAAACACAGTCACCCAAGAGTCATCAAGGTGATCTTCTGAAGTCAAAGAATCTCCTTGAGTATAAAAAGGATCCAATTGGGCAGGAGATAATGTCATCTTTCGTGGCTGACCAATACTTGCTGGACTAAACATACTTTGCCCTGTTCCAGGAGTAGATGTAACTCCAACCAGAGGACTCTGCATTACTGAAATGTTTGGCTGTCTTCTTGAAGTTAAAGGTGTTGATCCAAGTCCTGGGCTAGAAATGTCATCATATATACTTCTAAGTGGTGGAGCGTCACTTTGATCTTTAGGAGCTGGTACAACTGGTTGTGGTGGTGACCCACCCGAAAGTAAAGGTGATCTCATTTCCATTACTCCTGCTGAAGGGCCACTAATTGATCGAGGTTGTGGAGTCACCGGAGCTGGCAAATCCCCCATTAAAAATCCAGGTAAGAACTGGGCATTAACTCCTGGCTTTGGAGATGTGGGTGAACCCAGCATCATTGGTTCAGATCCTAGCGCCGGCACCTGGGGTTCCATGGCAAAGGCTGCCATCGCGTTGGCAACTACAGTTAAAAACCAGGACCTTCCCAATTTTCAAAAATGGTGGAAACTCTCGCCATCCATTTTCTTTCCCTTCTTTACACTGAATTATTTTGAGGAAAATCCCAGACATCTTTTTATCCATGAATGCTCCAGTAGGTACCTCTAAAAATAAAATCTTCTCTTTTTGCATTACCAAAATCACACCTAAAAGTTTAACTATAATTTCTTTATATCACCAAAAATCCAGCCAGTTATGACATTTCCCTGGTTGTTTTATTAATATGTGTTTTTTTAAATTGTCGATTTGTTTAAATCAAGATTCAAATATTGCATTTGGTTGAATAGGTCTTATAAATCTAAAAAGACTAAACTTGACTATTTACCCTACTGTCCTTTTGTTTGCTTGTTTGTTTTTGAGACAGGGTCTCACTCTGTCGCCTAGGCTGGAGTACAGTGGCATGATCTTGGATCACTGCAACCTCGGCCTCCTGGGTTCAAGCGATTCTCATATCTCAGCCTCCCAAGTAGCTGGGACTATTGGCCCACCGCACCCAGCCAATTTTTGTATTTTTTGGTAGAGATCAGGGTTTCACCATGTTTGCCAGGCAGCCTTTCTTTTTTGTCATTTATTTGTTGAAGAAACCTGGCCATTTGTTCCTTAGATGTCCCTGCTTTTGGATTTTGTTGAATGCATTCCCCATGGCATTGGTGACTATGTTTTACTTCCCTCTATATTTCCTACAGACAGTAGTCAGCTCTAGAGGTGTAATCAGGTGGGATTTTTTGGCAAGAAAACCTCATAGGAGGTGCTGGGAACTTTTCATGGCATCCCATCTGGAGGCATCCTGCCTCGCTGCCTCTCTTTTTGTGATGTTAGGACTGATGGGTGGGTTCAGTTAGCATCAGCCTGATCCATTTATGATTAAGTTCCCTGTGGGACTTTCCATCTAACAGCTTTAGCTGCCATTGACAGTCACTGCCTGTTGCAGTAGGGTTCCAGCAGCATGCTTTTCATTGAGGTGAGATGCTCTGACCATTTTGCTTTTAGTTAACATTAAAGCAGCTCTGTTTTGCTGCTTTATGGGACTCTCTGAGGGGAAAAAAATGGGGGTGGAGGTGAAGGGGGATCGTTGACCAAAAAGTGAGGAGAAAGCTGCCTGTTATGGACTCCTCTTGCCGCAGACTCCAAAGCCACTGCCCCGGGCGGTTCTGCAGGAAAGAAGCCCATTTCCACCAACAGTGTAAAAGTGTTCCTATTTCTCCACATCCTCTCCAGCATCTGTTGTTTCCCGATTTTTTCATGATCGCCATTCTAACTGGTGTGAGATGGTATCTCAATGTGGTTTTGATTTGCATTTCTCTGATGACCAGTGATGAAGAGCATTTTTTCATATGTTTGTTGGCCTCCTGTATGTCTTCTTTTGTAAAGTATCTGTTCATATCCTTTGCCCATTTTTGAATGGGCTTGTTTTTTTCTTGTAGATCTGCTTTAGTTCTTTGTAAATTCTGGATATCAGCCCCTTGTCAGATGGGTAGACTGCAAAAATTTTTTCCCATTCTGTTGGTTGCCGATTCACTCTACTGACTGTTTCTTTTGCCGTGCAGAAGCTGTGGAGTTTGATTAGGTCCCATTTGTCTATTTTGGCTTTTGTTGCCATTGCTTTTGGCGTTTTGGTCATGAAGTCCTTGCCTACACCTATGTCCTGAATGGTTTTGCCTAGATTTTCTTCTAAGGTTTTTATGGTAATAGGTCTGATGTTTAAGTCTTTAATCCATCTGGAGTTAATTTTGGTGTAAGGTGTCAGGAAGGGGTCCTGTTTCTGCTTTCTTAACACTTTTACACTGTTGGTGGGAATGTAAATTAATTCAACCATTGTGGAAGACAGTGTGGCGATTCCTCAAGGACTTAAAAATAGAAATCCCATTTGACCCAGCAATCCCATTACTGGGTATATATCCAAAGGATTATAAATCATTCTACTACAAGGACACGTGCACACGAATGTTCATTGCAGCACTGTTTACAATAGCAAAGACCTGGAACCAACCCAAATGCCCAACGATGATAGACTGGATAGGGAAAATGTGGTACATATACACCATGGAATATTATGCAGCCATCAAAAACGATGAGTTCACGTCCTTTATAGGGACATGGATGAACCTGGAAACCATCATTCTCAGCAAACTGACACAAGAGCAGAAAATCAAACACCGTATATTCTCGCTCATAGGCGGGTGTTGAACAATGAGAACACATGGACACAGGGAGGGGAGCACTACACACTGCGGTCTGTTGGGGGGAAATGGGGGAGGGGCGGGGGGTGGGGAGGTGGGAAGAGATAGCATGGGGAGAAATGACAGATACAGGTGAGGGGACGGGAGGCAGCAAAGCACACTGCCATGTGTGTACCTATGCAACAATCTTGCATGTTCATCACATGTACCCCAAAACCTAAAATGCAATAAAAAAAAAAAAAAAAAAAAAAAAAAGAAGCCCATTTCGCTTTGTTTGATTCTGTATTTTCCAAGTTCACTTGACTACGAGCATTTTATTTATGTGGAGTCCTCATGAGGGAAAGGCAGTTAGGCTGGTGGGAGCAGGGGAAAGCAAAAAGGGAAAGAAGAAAAGCTGTAAGCCTGCCTTTCTTCCCGGTCCTGGACACGTGGTCCTCCTGCACAAATAACTCACACTTTTCTTGCACTGACTTATCACCAGACCCTCGGCCGATAGAAAAATGAAAGTTAGCTCACCGCAACCTCAGTACAGCACACAGCCCTCTCCAGCACAATCCCCACCAAACCTTTGTCTCCTGGCAGTCAGCTCCTCTCTTGCTGATCTGCCCATTGCACCTTTGCAACATGTTTTTATACCTTCTAATAAATCTGCCTTTTTTACTTATGACTGTCTTGGTAAATTCCTTTATCCTTGTGCCACTGGCCCCAGTTAATTGCTACCTGAAACATTCTTTTTTTTTTTTTGAGATGGAGTTTCACTCTTGTTGCCCAGGCTGGAGTGCAATGGCCCGGTCTTGGCTCACTGCAATCTCTGCCTCCTGGGTTCAAGCGATTCTTCTGTCTCAGCCTCCCAAGTAGCTGGGATTACAGGTGCCCACCACCATGCTGGCTAATTTTTGTATTTTTAGTAGAGACAGGGTTTCACCACATTGGTCGGTCTGGTCTGGTCTCAAACTCCTGACCTCAGGCAATCCTTAGCCTCCCAAAGTGCTGGAATTACAGGTGTGAGTCACTGCCCAGCCAACATTCTTTATCGTATTTTTTACTACCCATTGGAGTCAGCTTTGGAGAATACTACTTTAGTGTCTAGGTTACTTAAAATAATGCCACTTATTAATATATGCATGTGTTTCTTGGCTGTCCGGAACCACTCTGACAGTCTTCTGCAGGCTGTGTTCACTAGTGGCCATAAGCTGAATGTGTTCATAGAAAAGCCCTGGATGGCAGAATTGGCAGTATTTCTGGCAAAGCTTTATCTGGAAACTCTGAATTGACATCGTATCCCTGGGAATGAATGCCTGAAACAAAGGAGAAAATACCTATTCCACATCTCACCTCCACTTTACAGTGCTTGCTGGAAGCCTCTGTGATAAACCTTCAAGAAATGCCACAGCGGTGTGCACCCAGGGATGCTAGTACCAGATATAGTTACTCTCTGTTTTCATTGCTTCCCTCTACACAATCTCCAAACCACACCTAGGGGACCATTTCCCTTCTGTTTCCCTGGGTAACACTGTTGTCAACTCTGTCACTGCTTGCACAGTGTGGTTAGCTGGTAGCAAATGAGACGTTGGAGAGGGGACCTAGCAGAGGCCTTGACTGACTTTCTGAGGGCAGGGATTTCATAGTGCTCCTTTCACATGGCCTTTAGGAAGAAGCATCCACTCTAGTTGCATTTTGTTTACCAGCTTACTTTTAAAGAGCCAGGACGAGTCCACTAGTTGTCCAGATTGTTGACATCGTGGATGAGAGCCCTGCCCTCATAGGATACCTGAGCTTGTTGTAATTCAAATGGGCTCTGTAGGGAAGCAGGGGCTTGTGGGGAATGGGAGGAAGCTGGGGAGAAGACGGGTTGTGAGCAGCCCAATGTGAGGGAAAGTGGGTACCCTTGCTGGGCCAACTTACCATAAAGAGGGTTCAGTCCTGTGACTGCCGTGTAGTAACCAGGCTTCCACATAAAGAAGAGACTCAAAGTCAGCCTAGGTGCAGTATGGTGGTCTCAGGTAAGAGGTTTGCTTTGATAAGACCCCAGCCAGGAGCTGGAGATACAGAGTTAGGACCAAGCCCCAGGGGAAGGGACCTGGTAAGAGCTGGGCAAGGTGCCAGGATCCCAGCCATGAACTGCCTTGGTCCTGATGGGCTCAGAAATTAGGCAGGGCTGAGTATGCTTGTGGGAGGCTTCTCTGGCTAAAATAGTAAGACCCAGCCTGGCGTGGTGGCTCATACCTGTAATCCCAGCACTTTGGGAGGCCCAGATGGGGGATCACCTGAAGTCAGGAGTTCGAGACCAGCCTGGCCAAGATGGAGAAACCCCATCTCTACTAAAAATACAAAAATTAACTGGGTGTGGTGGCATGTACCTGTAATAATCCCAGCTACTTGGAAGGCTGAGGCAGGAGAATCAACCTCAGGAGGCGGAGATTGCAGTGAGCCAAGATTGTGCCACTGCATTCCAGCCTGGCTTCAGAGTGAGACTCCGTGTTTAAAAAAAAAAAAAAAAAAAAAAAGTAGGACCTAAATTAACTGACACATCCTAATATCCAACACTATCGGAAAGGTTGGAATTGAGAGTCAGGATAATGGAGCGATTAAAACTATAGACACTGACGCCAGCCTTCCAGAGTTCAAATCCTAGCTCTGCTGCTCACCAGCTGTGTGACCTCAGGCAAGTTGCTCCACCTCCCTGTGTCCCATCTATCAAGTGGAGACAAACACTTCCCTCAGAGTGTTTTTATGAGGATTAAAGGAGTTGAGATACATAAAAGCACCTAGAACAGTGCCTGGCACAAG